TGATGATAATGCCACTGTTATACATGTTTGAATTTCATTATTACGATAAAGAAAGACGCGTGCGAAATCCTTCAATAAGAAACGAGCCTTTCACCCTCATGCAAATAACGCTTGTATCGAAATCGCCTCTTTTTACAAATGCTGTCACTCTGTCTGTATTTCACTGGTTATTGTTTTGTTTGCCACTTATCTGCATTTTTATTTACCAAGTAATTATATTCTCACATAATAAATATTTTGTTCCATCTTTTTACCAATCGCAAAATCATCACCATCCCTACTATGAATATGACAACTTTCTCCACTGCCAAGATGAAAAATATGTTTCTCAGCCTCGGGGCAACCACTCGAGATGAACAGTTGAATGCTTTGACCACAGCTTGTGACCGACTCGAGGCCGAGGTGGAGGCTTTGACCTGGCAATTGGATCAAAACAAACGCTCGTTGAATAATGTCCAAAAACAGCGAGATCATCTACAAACGCAACTGGATCAGGTGCTACAATGGCGTGAGGCCAAAATAGCCGATCAGTGCACGAACGCAATCAACGGAACGAGCACTTCAACCCCAACTAGCAAGTCGCCCCCATCGGTTACGAAGAGTTTGGAGGATGAGGAAGAAAAACTGCGGGAAATGTTGCACCGGCAAGAGGAACAGATCAAACAGCTGCAACAAAAACAGCAACAGCTAGAACTAGAACAACAAACCACTGCGAGTCCGAACTCGGAGGTACAAAACGGTATGAGTTCCACTCGTGTGATTCACATCCAGAGTGAGCAGGACACGGCCGAGTTGAACGAGCTGCGTCAACAGATAAACCAGTTACGCGAAAGGGAACGAGAGTGGGCTCGAACGGAATCTCGTTTGTTGGATTATCAACAACAGATGGAAGAGGAACGTGAAAAACATATTGCCCGGATAGAGATGCTTATGAATGCTAAACGGTCCTCATCTGTGCTTGATGGAGGAGACACACTGACCGATCAAAGACCTTCGGTAAGCGCTGGCGTGAGCCACTTGTTTGTCTGTGATAACTTCAGTATGATTCACTTAGCAACTAGGGAAAATAAGGTGACTGCTACAGATCACGTGCGTTTGGGAAATTATTTGTCCTGGAAACACAAGCAATTACTGAGTAGTAACCCGAAGCACTGCGCACGACGCATTTGGCCATGTCCAAAGTTTTAGAAAATTGAAACACTGAGTCATCTTTATCCAGTTCTTTAGAACATAGAGAAGACAAATAAAGTGAGATGTTCAAGTTTCAATGTCCTCAGTCATTGCAATGTAAAAGATCTGGTATATATACAAGAAAGTTTGATAACTACAATGGTTCAAAAGACGGGAGGATCAGTTCCGGGATCGATTCTAAAGTAATTTGACTTACTGCCTCTGAAACGTTTGTGCACATGAAACTGAATAACTTAACTTGCTCAACACGTTTCTCTGAATTTCAAGGGCCTGGGATTAATACTACGTATTAATGGCTTGAATGAGAAATGTGAATCAACTACATGTCCGGTTGTCATGATGTTTTCGATCGATGACCCTTGGAGTTCTCTCATCATATTGACCCTTGAGATCATACTGCGTCATTGACCGTAGTAACCACTTGAGTCTGCATTCGGATATCTTTTGTTCTAGAGGCGGATTGTTTCTGTCGACTTAAGATTCACCGTAAATGCAGATAAACTGATGGACGACATGCGAAGCAGAATTAGAGACTAGCTCCGTTTTCGGTTGTAGAGACGAATTCCTCGGGCGTACAATATCAATTGAAGCTGTGCGACAGGAAACGTTAGACATAATGACGCACGTCTTTCATCATCCTTGAAGGTCAGTTTGAGAAAGACGCTCTTCTTTGGTACTTCGCAAGCGTTAACTTTCGTCTGCCATGCATACAAATACATTTCTCTGGATAGCTATTACCTAGTGATATGCTTCGTAGAAAAGTCTCTTGTTTTTGAAGCGTGTCAAACGAGCAAATATTCCAGGCATGATGGAACAGAGTTTTCGCCAGACCTCTTTTGTATGCCACTAGAGCAAAACGAGTAAATTGTAACTATTATCAATTTCGCGTGGTTTTCCGGTAGACAGATCGTTTTAAAGTCCTCTTTGATCGCCTCCTGATTTTCATTTCTAAAACTTTCACACACCTATCCTTCTCCTCCTCAAGAAAAACTAAGAGATTGGGATGAATAGCAATAAGCAGTGTTAAAACGGTGTCAAAATGCTTAGGATCGGTAAAAGTCAAATTGTCATAGACATAACGTTTGTACAAAACAACTTCTGAAATGTTATCTTGTAATCGTCTTTCAACCAATCCTAGAAACATTCCATAATGCTGGGGACTGTGCATTGCTATAGCGTCAATTGGCTTAGTGCTGATACTACCCGTTTATACAATGATAGAATTTTTGAGAAAATCAATGGGAATCGCAAGGTGACTATCACTGACGAGATATAATCACATCTGCTTTTGCATGTAGAGGGACAGTTGTAAAAACGGAATTGACAATAATAGAAAACATATGTTGTCCGCTGAACCACTATAGTTACTGAACCTTTCTTTGATACATATCCGATTGTTTTACTTAGTACCGACCAAGGAGATTCAAGTAAATAGGAACATCTAGCATTATTTATCTCCTCTTTGTCATAACATACCCGTATTACCAGAAAATCGATTGATAGACCCCCATTCCTTGGATATTCATCCCTGACTCCCGAAGTGAACTGCGAAGACCGTAGTTTATCTCTAACAAAACGTAAAGAAAGGAGTGAACGGTATTCTGAGACTGTCACATGTCCTGTAGTTGAATTATATTCAACGAATTGACATTCGTTTTACAGGATAAATTCAAAATGAAATCAACTCTTGAAAAATTAGCGCACTGGAATTCTGACTAGAGAACACAATCAGGAGGTGCCGTTACACCGCGTTCAATAGCACGTCGTCGTAACCCATTAGTATGCAATAGGTTTTCAAATATAAATCTGGTGATGATCACATGTAAACTGATATACTTTTTGGATAATATCCTTCTCGTGTTTTTATGCCCTTTTTATATAGGATGGGTTTTTCTTTAATATTGTACGCATTTACACATGGCACTCGTCAAGGTTTGTTTTCCCACCTCTTTCCGGAGAAGAATGCAGCAACACCATTTAGACAGAGTAATGAATCACGTTACTACGAGCTTTGTGTCAGGACAATCAGACATTTTGAAATTATACGCTGTTTGGTAACAAAGCTTTATCAACAGTCAAACTGATTAAACTGTTTCAAGTGAGTAGTGGAGGATTTGGTTCAATTTAAAAGCTGAATTCGTGTATATAGCAAATGAAGCGTGAACTGAACAGCTAGGAAGCACTGGACAGCTGTTTCGACCAGTGCAAATCCATCCACCCGCAACAAGCTCGCAGAGATGGGTTGCGCTATATCAGGTAAATGGAAAATGAAAAACGGTCTGATCAGCCGCCCGGTGATCGAGTGGGTAGCACGCTTGCGTTCTGCCTGTGAGGTCCCGGGTTCTATCCCCAATTGGGTCGATGGATTCGCACTGCTGATGAGACCAAACCAGGTCGAAACAGCTGTCCAGTGCTTCCTAGCTTTTCAGTACACGCTTCATTTGCTATATATACGACGAATTCACTTTGGATTAAATCGAATTCGCTAGAAAACCACTCAGTTAGGAAATCAAATAACAAGAAAATAACATGAATCAGTGCAAAAAAGAAACGTGCATCAGATAACTCGACCGTGAATGATTTTTCGTTCAATAACCAGCGCCTGTTGAGAACGCCTACAGCTCGCAATCGAGAACAAATGATTTATTAAAAAATTACATTCCCATAAGATCTGTTGCATAAAACACGATCTGCTTTTTTAATGTTCAGTGCCTTTCAAAATCCGACTGTCTAACCCTTTTTTGTTTCCATATTGATTGCAAAATGTATTGGTACATTCAATGATCCACAGTGCGTGACAGAAATGATCATTTCATTAGCACTCATGTCTTTGCTTACGTGACTTAGGTAACTGAAATCGCTTCTCCACAGTGAACATAGACAATTCCACTCAGCAGTTCACGATCAATCATTTAACCCATTCAATTATCACCATTCCCCTTTACTCCATCAGAAGAGGTGTGATCAGCCTCAAATAGTTTGTTGTTGTCACGTGAGTTCAGTTTACATAATTTACGCTGTCAAACTGCATCAGTACAGTACATTTTTAAATGAAATCGATCGGTTACACCTTTTATTGTGTGGGCCGAATTGATTTGTTTTTCGTTCTTCACGTGACTCGAGTGATACGCTATACTGCGTAATTGTGAGTATATGCATATATTCCCTAATGTGACCTTAGAATTAATATAGCACTGTGAACTCTTGATGTTTACGCCGGTGATTTCATTAAACCGGATGATAGATACATTATTAAACGTTATTTATTGATCAGTATCGTTGTCTGCTGTGTTGGTTGATCAATGCCCACACCAGTGCATGGTCGTTTTCTGGTTCTAGTAAAGTTCAAACACGGATGATACTTCTAAGTAAATATTCGAATAAAGTCGAAAATTCTCGTGATCTGAATAACTGCGCACAAATTGAAAATGTTCAACACCTTATTCGAACGCAAGTTTAAAGGAAACGTTCTAACCTGTATCATTTTGTACTAGGAACCAAATGAATGGTAAAAATACAAAGAAACTTTATTTTTATGCATTGAAGTGTACTACCGATTATTGACTGGAGTAAACTCATTTCGAATATGTGTATGTGTGTATGGGGATTCTGAGTGCGCGATCGATTTTCAGGAAAGCGATCTATCATTTAACCAGATCTGCAGGAAAACAAGAACAAATGAAAGAATAAACTGGATTGATGGCAGAATTTCATTGGCGATCGCCAGGCCATTGAGGCAGTTGGTCACCTCCAAAGGGAAATGTTGAGATCATATAAAATCAGTGCATGGAAATGTGTTAATTATGCAACATATGAAAGGATGAAGATTAGAAATCATCTAATTGGGAGCAAAGAAACACACTGATGGAAGGATAATTGCACCCATTGTTTCCAAGACCAAAAATGGCCACCTATGCTGTGACCGGAGAAAAAGGTACCCACACTCATGCATGAAACTGGGAGAGTGAGTCAGAGAGTGAGACTGCGTACATTCGTGTCTGGGCAGCAAAGCAAGATTGAGGCAACACAATAAAGCTAATCTTCGGATGTTACTATTTTAACATATGATTATTTCTATATCCCAGAATTATTGATTACGTTGTACATACTTTCACTGAGGAACACCGGACTCCAATGGCTATCGCTATTTGCATCAAACCATTCAGTTTAAAAAACTTCAGTTTCATTGTATTGTCGATGGTTTGATAATTGGTCAAGATTCTACCACACAACATACCCTGACTTCTGACTCTGGTCAATCACGGAATGAGGGCCAAGAACGCGCCCACCGAGGTTAAACTTGTGCTTGCTGTTCACCAGATGTCGATGGGCTGCGCGATTAATTTTTCGCAAAATCCTTAATTAAAAAACAGACTCTCTTGTGATCACATTTTCTACCGGAACGAGGAAAAGAAAACAAACTATCCCAGTTATCTATCCTAGCTCATTTGATTTTTTACACTCTTTAACCCCTTCCATTCTGCTGCGTCTACTCCCAGGCGGATTAGAACTCAAGAAGTGTCTGAATCGTGTTCAAATCAAGCCGACATGTTCCTTCTGAATCGACCGTTAACTATTCAGCGTAGTTCAGCAGAGGTGAACAAATTTTACTAGTTCTTTTGCGCGTGAACCCTAGTACATGTTCTGCAATAGAACCAAACTGTCATTGTCTACTGATTTGAAAAGAACGTATTTGACGTCCATACACAAACAGTATTATCCTCCATTTTTATCATCAAGCAGTTTATTTTTACCGTGTTGTTTGAATTCCAAGGAGTTCTGAACAGTGATATCATGGGGAATGTCATATTTGGATCCATACCGCATCCAATAGCGACGCGTTCGCAGAAAGTGACTCAAGATAAGGAGGGAAGCTGCAAATCAGAAACTAGAGAACAGGTGGTTGAGTCCCCCTCGTGACTGACAATGTGATAATGTGTACAGCACGTAATGCTACAGAGTGAAAAAAGGATCGCACGGATCGATCGCTAACCTGTCTCGAATGCACGTGCTATTCTGTATNGTATGACTTCATACAGACGATTGAATCCTAGGGCTTATAAGCCAGATGAACTCAGACTTACCTTCTGATACGCGGTGCTGGTATTCAGAGTCATTAAACAGTATTCACGTAATCCGTGCTATTTAAGACAGGTTTGACAGTCCGGAGCATACAGTACGAGTCTGACGGATGAAAAACATGTGAGTCTGTAGAGATACAAACAAGAACATCTTGGTGCAGAAAGCATTAAGCAATACCGATTATTTGAATTAATTGATTGATAGGCCCATTATTGATGAGAATTTTCGAAAGCAACCACCAGAAGAACGGGCAGGTAAATGAAGATCAAATGATAAAACGATATTGGGGTTCGAGCCTATGGTCCACAGGAGAGCACAGTCTATGCCATTCGATCATAAAAATGCTGTCGTTTTTCTTTCTGCATTTGAGAATTATCNNNTTATCATAGTCTGAGCAACGTGGTCTATTCAACTACGTTTGATCTGTACGTTTTACACCAGGCTTCCGTACAAGATGCAGACTGAATGTGCAATTTGGACTCTGAAATGTAACTTTGATAAAGTATCATTTTATGCAATAAACGGTGAATCGAATTATGTTCTCAGAAACTCCAAGCCTGAATGCAGTTTTCCGTCAAAGAAAGAGTCGTCCTAAAGGACCCGAAACCACCATGTTGTTTCAGTTCTCACTGAGGACCCTTGAANNAGGGTTTAGCCAAACTTGCAGGCTGGTCCTCACGGTTTCTCAGAGAAACTCATCTTTCATTCAGGGTAATTTGTTCGTTTCCTCGCCATTCACCCAGAATGTCTGATAACTGAACTCGGAAGCTCACCTTACGTCAACTCCTTATGACTGTGTATTATTCATTCGTCACCTCCATAGTATGAAATCAAGTGTAGCATTGAGGGATCACTTTAAGTATGTAATCTCTCAAACCGTGACAAACAGTAGGCTCCTATCAAAGTGAACAATATGTGAAATTCATTCAGAACCCGCATGCGCTCGATCCAGATATCATGAATTCACCGAAATTAATAAGTGAGTTCTCTCGCCCTGTTCAACCTGTATCTCACGTGATATGTGATACTTTATAAGTTCGATGGCGCTGGGTCCGTTAGAGCTAGTCAAGTGACAGAAAGAGAGGATCCGTAGGTTGAACTGATGATTGTCACGAGGGTTCTGGATGCCACTATCCGACACAAAAACTATCCAGATAAAATAGAGACCATTGGCGGGAAGGGGAGGGGGCGGAGAAAAGTTTGCAAAATAAGTTGAACCAATCCGAAAAGTGATTGTTTTGAAAACAGAAAATGGGTGCCAACTAGAAGCAACTTAACACAGCAACTGGGATAATTGATTATTGTTTACATAGATTGAAAATCATAGAGTATGTAGCAAAGAAAGGCAATGACGAAGGTATTTCAAAGCGTTCCCTAATAGTGTAAATTTTGTTGGGTATCATGTGAGTTGAATGAGCAATGATTCAACCTCGCAGATAAGCTGGATTTGCATCGGTTTCGTTCTCTGAGGCACAAGCGCCGTTAGAACAACTTCTGTAATGACTTGAAGCAAATGTGGATTAGACAACTGTCCGGGGGGATCATTACATAATAAGGACCTAACGGGTTTAATAGATTTTGATATGAGCATCAAGTTCGGATTATTTAATGGATATTTAAAAAGCTCTCATCAAACAGATAGCCCCCTCCCTCAGGATGACCAAGCTCAGATACACGACATTGTCTTCGTAGTTTACTGTACTATGTTGCAGTGCTTTCCGCATGATCAATATTCCCGGGGGTGGTACTCTAAAACAAATCTAGAACGAAAATGTTTCGTAACGTGAATTCTGAAACCCACAGGCCGTCCGCGAGGCACGTGCGTTTGTACCAATGTATACTATAATACATTGTGCATGGGAATTGATTCCTCTCATCAGAAATTTGTGCGGGAATACCTCCCCCCGGCTCCACTCAAGTGTAAAACCAATTCATTCACGTTGGAGACTGCTTGCTTGCAATAGCGCAATACCAATTGGTTGTACCTAATCTTTTACGGACAAAGTAATACAATTTGATCAGTTGCCTGGTGGTCCTTTGTGTAGCCTACCTACAGGTTACTCATGGTGATCTCTCGGGTGATACGATCAATAAAAGTGGCTGTTAAACAAGACTTAAACAACTGCTCCGTGCTTCCAAGCTTTTTATCTCAAGTTTCCCTTGTTCCGAGTACAATCCAACACCTCAGCACAAATCCGATTGTTCACATATTTTGATAAAATTCATGTCTATGTTCAGTCAAGAGTCCTTCTGAAAGATGTTCTGATGGTTATGACCAATGAAGATATATGTTCCCCGAAAACAATAAAATAACACACATTATAATTTTGAAATTTTATCGATTAGAAACTGTGGTCGATGCTTCTCGTGGGATAACAAGCATGTAAAACATTAACTGGGATCATGCAATTCTGGGTGTTCCCATTTGTCCGATTGGTCGTATGATTGTATTTCATGATGCTGATTTCGTCAAACCTGGGTGGGAGAGGAGACCAGTGAGGCAGTGGTGGTGGTAGCAGCACTCTGTCGCGTATGAAACTAGCTAATAATTGTTCACACTGTGGAGGAAATGTGTATCAGCGGACAATACCACAAATGTGAGTACCTCACAAACAAACTTATTGCACTCAGAGCTCCGTCTGCTCTAAAGCCTTCAAATGTCTATGGAAAACTTGTCGCTCTACTGATAAGGAAACGGGTTATCAAAACACACGTGTGAAAACCTTCAACTTGATTTATAAATATGAATTATGAAATACCAGTAACCGTTTATTGATTAGAATGCAGTGATCAGGAAAAACAAAACTAAACATCACTTTTAGTATTTTACAGGCTGAAAGTCAGGTTCTGTCATTTCCAGCGGTTTCTTTGTAGCGTAAAATGCCATAATCTGGCGGACAGAATTTATTTCAAAACATGTTTAGGTTGACGTCTCCACTGTCCGGAAACCTTATAATACAAGCAGTCGTAGAATAAGCATTAAAATATTGAAGTCTATGGCTCCAATGACCCACAATTCGGTTATCAGAACCAGTAGCCTATTCTCTGCAACTCAGAACGGCAAATCGTACGAAGCCATAGGCAAATAAGCGTGCTAATGAGCTGAACGAAAGTGATGAAACCCGCTCCGAAATTTAGGTGGTGGTGATGGTGGCAAGTTTAGAACTTCAAGCCTTGCAGCTCGGACAAAACCAAGGTTGGAGCATCAAGCCGTTTTTGCTTTGAGCGTTGCAGAGAATAGTGAACGGCTTTTAAAAAATGGTAAAATTGGTGAAATCGTAAACAGATAAGTGGCAGGTTTTACGCTCTACCACGAGCTGTAGGATTACATGACACCTACCAACGAATGTGGAAACCAAACACATGTAATTCACAAAACATTTTGACCTCACTCAGCATGATTAATACCGGATCGTGGATATTTTCTTGAACTTCATCCAATTTACAACAAAAATAATCCAGGCCACATAACTGATAGTAAGCTTGCGCTTCGTGTTAGCCCTATGAAAACACGACTGAAAGTGAGGAGAGTTTCTTCCTCTAAGAGACCAATGTTCACCTATAGACAAACGCTTATCAGTGACAATAAACAGCCAATCAGAAATTTCGAAATTTACCGGGTAAGCAATTTGTCACAGCATCGAAAACAGTGGGTTAATTTTGAAACTTTCAATCCTGCTGACACGTTTTTGATTATATTTCGGATTGATTTGATTCTCCTCAATTAGGGTTTTCTGTTCATTGAACCAACCTTTTCTTCCTGTAACACCTACACACAGTCTCAGATGTCAAGACTTACCGACACCGGCCAGATGATCGAATTGCGTCGCCTGAGCGAGGAACGATCGCGGTGGCGTCTGTACGCATGCAATTTAGTCCGTACGATTGTCGAGCATTGTGAGGAGTTTATTCGACGCACGCGTTACGAGGAGCCGGAATTTCACACGATAGCTGAACGGCGATGGTATGACTATGCGATTTATTTGCTCGAGATCCTGGTTGAAGTCGCCCCCCAGCGTCTGTCCAGTGCCGATACGGAGCTCATTCGACGAAACACCTCGTCCGCAGCAGGCCACCGGGAATCGATAACCTCGAATGTTCCATCCACATACAATGGTCCAGATTTATTGTCTGCTGTCACCCTTCGACGATCTCATAAAAAGAAATCAAGCACAAATGAACGTGTGGCCAAACTAGCCCGGAAATCCCTGTTTCGTGTATCTCATTCTAAATAAATAATTGTTTGTTGAATTAAATAATTAACTAACTAGGTGATCAAAGCAAATCATCAATCAACATTTGTAAACAATAAAGATCTGTATGAATTGATTCGGTCCATGGCATGCGCAATGTAAATATCTCACCTGCAACCGAACAACCTAGCACACCTGTCTCTCACTCTGGCTAAAGATATTATCTGTCGTTGAGATCTATCTTGATTTGCACTCCTAAAGGGTTGCCTATCAAATTTTGTGTACCTTTTGCTAATTACTCAGTTTATATTACTGTTTCCTGTCTTAACAAAATACTAACATCCCCTGTCGGGATGTCCGAGAATGGTCTTCAGGTACTCCAAATAAACCGTTTTTGGTGGAAGTTCAAATGTGGTTTGTTTTTGCGGTAAATTATTTGAATGGAATGTGCACAATGCGGTACACGTACCTCAACAAAAACTGTTTGAGGCGGTCGGATACAACATCCTTTTACAAAATGTGTTCTCGTATGTTCTCGGGGTTGTTACGGCCGTTGCTCGTGAACGTAGTGGATTCTGTCATCCGGATCGGGTATCAAAAACAAATAATACTCTTCAATTGTTGTTAGAAATAAAGTTGATTGACGAAACCGACTCGTTTTACGGTCATTCATTACGCCTGATTCGTGAAAATTAAACAGTGTATAGTCCGCATCGGAGCGCTTCATGCTCTGACTATTTTTGTTGTTCTGTATATTATTGATTATCAACTATTCTGCTTCCACTGTTGTTGTTGCTCTCGGAATATACCCATTCTAAAATTAGAACACATGTTCAGAGGGATCGTTGGGTGCCAACTATTTAATTACTCCCGTCTTCAGACATACAGAAACGTTGTGTTCTACACGATCAACAGTCACAGTATTTGGGTGAGAGTTGGACGACAACGAGAGCCGATGCATCACAGTTCAGATCATTACGTCATCATCTGGTTTCACTGCGTCATGCCTACGGCTAATCTTTGATAATGGGAATTGTCTAATCTGAGCTAACCTGCTCTGCGCATGTTCAAATGCATGTGAAACACCTCCACAGTGTTTGTTTCTCTTTTCGTTCTTGTTCTTTTCATGTTCTTGATTTCTATCCTCGTTAGCACTGGATTTTAGTATAGGTTGACAAGTTTCACAAATCAGTTATTTAAGACTGCAGAAGTTAGTCGGATCCCAAGTACATCAACCGCAAACAGGATAATGATTACTAAGTGATTTAAGTTACATCAGATTATAAGAAAGACAATCAGAAACAACTAGCTCATGTGCTACTCAATGACCCAGGTAAAGTAGAACTTTGCAGCACAAGATGCGACATCCATTTGATCGATCATGTCAAAATCCATTTGATGTTTCCGGAAAAAACACTGAAACTTATTTCGATCACTTCATAATAAATTTAAGGAAGAGATGGACGAAAAATGTTTGCGGCTTGATAAGTGGAAGTTCATGGTTGTAAATAATCGAAAGGATTGAGCACACAGTACTTCTGCAAATATACGCCACTTCAGAATGTCCCAAATGCTGACGATTGACCACTGAAGTGCTACTGCTGTCAGTTTTTTGTCACAGCCTTCGGTCAACTTGGAACTGAACTTCGAAGATGTAAGAGATGCAGTTTTACTCACTACGACTCAGCAAAACCGACTAAACTTCGCATAACTTCCTCTGCGAACGGGAGGAGCGGGCGGGGGAGAAATTAATACTGTTGGGCATCTATAGTGCGTGTGCCAAACACCGATAGATATTTCGTTGAATTCGTTGTGAACATCAATTTCACCCAAACAGACTCCGAAAAACGGCTCGGTTTTGCTAACTCGCTTGCTCAACAAACCTCTCATATATCAACAAATGAAAACTCCATTCGAAGGGTGTAGTCCGCAATTTCGAAAGTGTCTACTACATGAAGCAGAGGAGGCGTACGATCGATATGGCTGCAATCTATATTGAAGTTTGAGAAGGTTCATTATGGAAACGTAGGAAGGAAAATCCCCATAAAGAATCGTACTTAGGAAAGGTTTCTAAATGTCATACTGTTTTACGACCTCTTAAGTTACGAAATACCATGATTATATCTTCTTTTTGGATGCAGTTAACTGTGTGCCTATTACAGTATGATGTAGTCATGAATAAAGTCTGTAACTTCCCTCTTTTAAAGTAAACAAGGGTGCATTGCTTTGGAGTGAAAGGGGCAATCCTGCGGGTGCTTGACCGAGTATTCACATGTAATGGCGCCGATCAGCAGAATAAACCTCCTCCATCGGTCACATACTGGTTTAGTCTCCACAATTTCCAGTTTGCCTGCATTATTCGTCTGCCTGATCAGTGCGGAAGAAGTCCAGTAGTTTGGATCGCATACTGGTTCAACAAAAAAGAACCGTATATCTGACTGCCCGAAATAGAAACTTGATGCTAGAAGCTTAGTGAGAGTACGTGAGTTTTGCTCGTTACGCGCACATGCAAACGCGATTCAACACTTTAGGGCACATTTTTCATTGGTTTTCCTCGGTCATTTTATGATAACTTCAGGCGACTTGCATTCCAATAAGTTACTGGCCCCAGCGCGTACACCCTCTTTCGTTTCATATCCTCGGTGAACTGGAATGCACAAATTCCTCGGTTACTCATATTTAACAGATGGAGGTGTACTACAATCAAATTATTTGGGACACTGCTGAAGCCGCGCAATCCACATGAGTTATCAAAAACACCAAATCTGAACCCCTTTTGACAATGCTTGTATACACACTTTCCGTCAGTACTACAGAACACATATCTATTCATATATTTATGTATTGTCACACACTCCGCAGTTCAGAAAGTGTGCCAAACAAATCACGGTAAACTATTCTTTATCAAAAGAATAAAGGTCCAATATTTGCTTGAGGGCACGATACTGCTAGTGTGCTCAAGCCCAAGCAGGTGAATCTTCTTAGGAAGTTCTCAACCGGAGCCTTCGGCTAGCGAAAGCTGCACCCGAAAGGCAGCAGGGTGGTGTGTGAAAACTGCAATCCATTGGCCGGCGGCCGGGATCCAGTTCATCGGATCATACGCCCACTGGACAGGGTCCGACGTCCAAGGTGCTTAAAACACCTCGATACACAATCCAGCCGACGACCAGGAAGTTGTGAGTGAGTGTGGTTCTCCTAAGTGAACTGCCAGTGAGTGGTTCACCGACTTCGGTTATAACCCCGGATGTTGGCTTTGTCTTCTTGCTTTGGTCGCAAACCCCAACGTCGAGAAGGCAGTGATTAGGGCTTCCTCAGCAAAGGCTATTTGAGACGCTTGGTTGTCTAGGTGCATCTCGCGAGCTACTGAGGGGTGACCAACCGCAACCCAAAACACCCACCCCCAACCATACTGATGATTTCGTAGGCAATGACGCTCATAGTTGCAGAGAGCTATTTTACCGGAATCTCATGCATGAAATCGTTCACAGGCCAAATTTTTGAGTTTTAAAAGGCAACCGAGACTAATGATTATTGGACGAAATGGTAAAATTTGAGTAATTTTCAAACGTCCCGGAGGTTTGTACGAGAATAATAAATAAGGATTGGGAAAACACTGGTTTTGGTGCACGGACCTGACAACCGAATAGCACCGTAGTTTATCAACTAACAACAATGTTTTAAGTTCATGATTCGTATTAGTGATGATTCTCAATTATCTGATACAATCTAAATCGACTTGAGTTAACGGTAAACGGGTTTCCATTTCACCTTACTTGTTGCCTCGTGGTCAGGTTCTTGTCAAAAGTTTTGGTTGAGAACCTTAATCGTTCAATTCAAGTCGCCCACAAACCGATCGCCTATCTAAGGGGACTTCTGTCAAAACCCAAGGA